GGTCATGGCACAGTGCTGGGAAAGAGCTCTCCCAGCACTCTAAAAAACCCACCTCCACGAGGGGTGTAGCTACCAGCATTGGGAACACTGAAACTTGCTGCACTCAGGGGTGTGTTTTTTCACACCCCTGAGCCAAAAAGTTGCAGCGCTGTAAATTGCCAGTGTAGACAAGCCCTCAGTCTCAGTACTTGTGAACCTGTCCTATGCACGTAGGGCACATCTACACTGGCAAAGTTACATGACCGGCAGTTACAGCGCCGCTCAGAGAGTGCAGAAGGAAAACCGCTGTTGTGCGTTCACACTGAGAGCTGCCTGAGCAATAACCTGTTCACACTTGCGGCACTTGCAGCGCTATTCGGAGCAATGCACTATGGGCAGCTATCCCACAAAGCACCTCTTTCTCTTTTGCCACTAAGAGTTGTGGGAAGGTGGAGGGGGTCGCGGGGCCTCCTGGGTCCTGTCCCAATGCCCCGTGAGGCATTGCTTCACATTCCAGCAATCTCTGTGCTTCCATCCACATTTGGAGCCATCTTTCAAGGGTTTGTGTACTGCGTGCCCTGCCTCTTTCGGGCTGCAGGATTGGATCCCGAACTGCTGGCCAGTATGCTGCTCGCTCTGACCAACATGTCACCAGTGGCAGTGGAGTTATTCCTTAAACTACAAAGGCAAGAGAAGTGCGACATTGATCATGCCACAAGTAGGAGCTCTGGCACAAGATTGCTTGTGGCATTCATGGAGGTGCTGACCACAGTGGGACGCTGCTTTTGGGTTCGGGAAAGAAGCACAGAGTGGTGGGATCACATCGTGATGCATGTATGGGATGATGAGCAATGGGTGCAGAACTTTTGCATGAGGAAAGCCACATTCATGAGACTGTGTGATGAGCTCACCCCAGCCCTGCGGTGCAAAAACACGAGAATGAGAGCTGCCCTGTCGCTGGAGAAGCGTGTGGTGATTGCACTGTGGAAGCTGGCTACTCCAGACTGCTACTGATCAGTCGCTAACCAGTTTGGAATGGGAAAGTCAACTGTTGGAGTCATGTTGATGGAAGTGTGCAGGGCCATTAATCACATCCTGTTCTGAAAGACTGTGACTCTGGACATTGCGTGACATTGTGGATGGCTTTGCACAAATGGGCTCCCCTAACTGCGGAGGGGCGATTGATGGCACACACATTCCAATTCTGGCACCAGACCACCTAGCCACCAAGTACATTAATCGCAAGGGGTATTTCTCAATGGTTCTCCAGGCGCTTGTGGATCACCGTGGGCATTTCACAGACATTAACGCAGGCTGGTCCGGAAAGGTGCATGACGCACGCATCTTTTGGAACACTGGCCTGTTCAAGAAGCTGCAAGCAGGGACTTTCTTCCCAGACCAGAAAAGCACCATAGGGGAAGTCGAAATGCCCATTTTGATCCTGGGAGACAGCGCCTACCCCTTAATACCATGGCTTATGAAGCCATACACGGGGCAACTTGACAGCAGCAAGGAGCAGTTCAACAACAGGCTAAGCAAGTGCAGAATGACTGTTGAGTGAGCATTTGGCCGTTTAAAACCCCACTGGTGATGCCTGTATGGGAAGCTGAACATGGCTGATGACAGTATTCCTATGCTTATAGCCACATGCTGTGCGCTCCATAATATTTGGGAAGGGAAGGGTGAAAGCTTCACTCAGGGCTGGACAGCAGAGGCTCAGCGCCTGGAGGCTGAGTTTGAACAGCCAGAGACCAGGGCTATTAGAGGGGCACAGTGCAGGGCCATAAGGATTGGGGTGCCTTGAGGCAGCCATTTGAAGCTGAAAGCCACTAATATTTGTTGCTATGCTTGGGATTGCAGTGCTTGTAATGCTAGGAGGTGACTGGTGCACATGATGCAAGAAGGGGACTTAACATAATTGTATGTTGCTTTGCAGTGCTCTTTTTGCTTTCACTTAATAGAATAAAGATTGCTTTCAAACCAACACAATTCTTTTATTAAAAGACAACTGGAGGAGAGAGTCAAATGAAAAAAGTAATCAGCAGGGAGGGAGATGGGGGATGGGAGAAGGGAAGGTCTCAAGAGGAGGAGGGGTCCTGGGACGGCTACAGATTTGTGTATGTCCAGGGATCATACCCAACCTTCTCCTTTGGAGTACAATGCAGTGGGTGCTGTACTTCAGCTGGGCCAAACTGCAGAGGGTTGGGTGTTGAGTGTAGTGGGAGTCCACTGTGCTGGACTGTGAGGAGGGAGCAGTGGAATGCTGCGGGTAGAGTGGAGCCAGGAGGTTGATAACCGTGTGTTGGCAGTGTGTGGGGGGCGCATGGGAAAGAGTTTTGTGACAGCGGCTGCAGGGAAGGGCAGGCACGGCGCTGCTCGGTTTGAAGAGCTAGTATCGCCTGGAGCGTGTCCTCTTGGTGCTCCATAACGTTTAGGAGCTGCTCTGTGGCTTCTTTCTGGTGTGCTGCGTTCTCCTTTTGGTCCCTCTTCTCACTGTTCCGCCACTCCTTCAATTCCTTTTTCTCGGCGGCGGAGTGCATCATAACATCACGCAGAAAGTCCTCCTTAGTTCTTCTTGGCCGCTTTCTAATTCTGCGCAGCCATTCTGCCATTGATAACAAAGAGGGAGGCTGGGCTCCCAAGGTCATCTCTGTGAAGTTTAAACACAACATTTTACAGAAGCAGTATTGTTTGCAACACAGACAACACTGATTCAGTCTTTAAAACACAGCCAGTACTCACACACCTGTCACTAACTGGCTGACCCCAGGCAAGCACACATAAGCCACAAGACCCCTAAAATGGTGAGCAGCCGCAGGGGCAGGGTAAATCACTCTTCCCGGACCCTGCTGTACACTGGGCACGTGGCTCTAGGGGGCACCTGATAATCATTCCTGTCCCCACACTTTCCACAGGATGTGATCATTATGGAAGATATCTCATAACTGAGGGTGATCAGGGAATCAAGGGAGGGTCTTCTCCAAGCCTGCGGCTTCCGCCCTGGCCCCATGCGGCTCACCTGTATGCAGCAATGGTTCTCCCCACCCACTGTGATGGCACAGTGGCGTGGGAAAGTTACCGTTAATGGGGCAAGAAACAAAGTAGCACTGCCAAGGAACCTGCAGCAGCGGACTGCCCAGTATCTCCACGAGGGTTTCCTGGAGATCTCTGAGGGAGATTCCCGTGAAGTGAGGGAGGCTATCGACAGCCTGTTCCACCGCTCAGACTAGGCATGCGGTGGGAGACAAGCCTGCTTTCTGCAACCCTCCTGCCTCCAACAACTCACTTCATCAATTCCCAAAATCAGATCCACTTACCAGGGGCCTCCTCTCCTGTTTGCGCTTTGCCAAGATCTGACTGCTGTGACTGGCTAGGCTCCTCCGGGTAGAAAAGAGCTCATGCCTGCATGCATCTCTGGCCTCTGAGTCATCCTCTGCCTCTGGGTCCCCCTCCCCCTCTTCGTCCAAGATTTCCTCCTCCTGGCTCGGTCTACTCTCGACTGGCACATGAGCCAATGAAGTATCCACAGCGGCCTTCGCAGTGGAGAGAGGGTCACCACCGAGTATCGCGTCCAGCTCTTTGTAGAACTAGCAGCTCGTCGGTGCAGCACTGGAGCGATGGTTTGCCTCCTGCGCCTTGTGGTAGGCGTTCCGCAGCTCCTTCACTTTTACCTTACACTGCAATGTGTCCTAGTCATGGCCCCTTTCTATTATGCATCGTGAAATCTGTCTGTAGGTATTGTAATTCCTACGACTGGAGTGCAGCTGGGACTGCACCATAGGCGCCAACTTTCCGCGGTGCCGGTGGGTGCCCGCACCCCCCCACCCTGACTCCACCCTTTCCCCATCCCTGCCCTGCCCCCATTCCAACCCCTTCCCCAAATTCCCCGCCCCAACTCAGCCCCCTCCCTGCCCCTATTGGACCCCTTCCCCAAATCCCCGCCCTGGCCCTGCCGCGTTCCCCCTCATCCCCCCTCCCTCCCAGCACTTGCCGCGCAAAACAGCTGTTTCATGACGCAAGCGCTGGGAACCCCATACTCAAATGATCCCAAATTTGGACCAGTAACACTACAGAGAACTGCATGAGGCACACCAAATTTCAAGCCAATCTGAGTAAGCATTAGGAATTTTAGACCACTTAGTAGAGTCAACTTTTAAACAGAAAGTGATGCTCAACCTAAATGTAGAGTAGAGCTGGCACTCCGCTATAATATGGTGCTGATGCTAACGGGTGCAGAGTTGCAGCCACAATAACATTTTTGCTTAGGCCTTGCCTACACCACCTCTTTGAGAGGTGGTAGCTAGAATTCTTCCGTCAACCTAGTGCTGTCCACATCAGGGTGGGGGGATAATTAAATCATTTTAGATACGTCTCTTGGAGTGTGGATTGAGAAATGTAGCTATACCAATGGAAATTCCTAGTGTAGACCAGGCCTGAGTATTTGATGTAGCGTTGCCACCTCTGAGGTACAAAAACCTGGGCCATCCAGGAGGACCCTGAGCCCATCAATTCGGACAGTTGGTGGCAGAGTATATCGAGCACCTTTGCGGATTTCCCAAGGCAGCTGCCACAAAAAAGGAACTATCCTGAGAGAGCCTGGACAGGAGCCAGCCCTAATCTGGAGGCTCATTGTCAAAGCCCCTGCGTTTTCCATTGAATTTGGAAGGAGGTGGCGGCGGGGTGCTCAACATCTCTGCAAATCAGGCCCTGGTGGCACCTGCCCTGCTACAGCCAGACAGGGTGACCAGATAGCAAGTGTGAAAAATCAGATGGGGGTGGGGGGTAATAGGAGCCCATATAAAATAAAGCCCCAAATATCTGGACTGTCCCTATAAAATCGGGACAGCTGGTCCCCTCCAGCCAGAACCTCGGAGTCGCAGCCGCCCGCGCCCGGGGACCCCAGCTACATCACAGCGGGAGCACGATGACTCGGCCATCCATTGGCTAGGGCTGCTAGCGGAGGCAGCTCCGAGAGCTATTCACCCGCCGCCCCCCTTAGCCCTCTCTTCCGATAGCTGCGATTGGTTAGGTCTGGTTTCAATATGGCGGCCAACGCGACTACCAACCCGTCTCAGCTCCTGCCGCTCGGTAACTAGCTCCCCCGCCCAGGCACAGGGTGTCCCGGCTTGCTCCGGGCCGGGCGGGGGCTTTGTTTTTAGGCTGCTGTCGGTGACGCTGGGGGAGGGGCGATCTCAGGCTCCCCTCCTGGCGGGGTTGGGGCGGGTCTCGCGGGCCGTTAGTGCCCGGCCCCGGGCCCCGCCCGCCAGACCGCGGCTCACACCCCGCAGCTCCAGGGCGGGAGGGGCAGCGCGCGCTCCCCTCCCCCTCCCCCGGGCTCCTCCCCGCCCAGGCTGCCGGCAGGTGTATCCCGCCCCCCCCCAGCTCTTCAGCGGGCAGCACCAGAAGCGGCGGGTGCCCGGGGTGGGGGTGGTTGTTGCTGGAGCCCCCCCCCCAAGCATGTTTTTAACTCGGTGCCGCCGCTAGCCGTGAGGGGCAGAGCGGCTCCACCGGGAGCTGGGGCCGCGATTCCCAGCTCCAGGAGACCCAGCGGCCAGCTCTGGTCCAGCTCGCTCGCTGCGGCAGTCGGAGTCCCCGGACAGCGTCCGTGGGGTGTCCGGCTGCGGCTACGCTCCAACTTTAACTTGTTTAGGCTTAGTGCAGCTGTCTCTCTGCCCGTTGGGGATCATACCCCCAGCTACACGTGTGGAGACCTGCCTGAGGGCTCAGCGACTCCGCACTTGTCTACTCTTAAAACGCTGCAGAGTGGACAACGGGAGCGGTTCTCCCATCGTTGTAGTTAAACCACCTCCCTGAGGGCTAGTCTAAGGGCTTGTCTACACTGGCACTTTACAGCGCTGCAACTTTCTCACTCAGGGGTGTGAAAAAACACACCCCTGAGCGCAGCAAGTTTCAGCATTGTAAAGCGCCAGTGTAGACAGTGTACTAGCACTGGGAGCTGCCCGCCTCGTGGAGGTGGGTTTTTTAGAGCACTGGGAGAGCTCTCTCCCAGTGCTCTGATGTGACTACACAAGCCACGTTAAAGCGCTGCCACTTCAGCGCTTTAACTTTGCCAGTGTAGAGTAGCCCTAACTAGAAGGGCTACATTGGCACAGCTGCTCTGATGCAGCAGCACCGCTGACCGGAGAAAGCTCTCCCAGTGGCATAATTACTCCACCTTTGTGAGAGGCAGAAGCTGTGATGGTGGGAGAGTTTCCCACTGTTATAGCACTGGTGTGGACAGCGCTTAGGTCACTTAGCGATGCAAGTTACAGGTTTTTTTATACCCCTAAGCAACATAAGTAATATCAATGTAAGTGGCAGTGTAGACTTACCTTGAGAGGCGGTAGCTAGGTCGATGGACTTAGGTTGCCTTAATGCAGCTCAGGGGTCTGGATTTTTCACACCGCAGACCGAAGTAGTTAAACAGACCTAATTTTCTAGTGTAGACCAGGCTTTGGCTTTTGACTCAGGCTAGTTTGAGTTTATCCCCAGGCTCGCCTATAACCTTTAATTGAAACTGCTAACCAGAGTTAAATACTGAGGGCATGGCTACACTTGCAGATGTAGAGCGCTTAGAGTTACACCAGCCTTCATAGAGCACAGTAGGGAAAGCGCTGTAGTCTGTCCACACTGACAGCGCATTGGCGTGGCCGCATTAGCAGCTCTTGCAATGGCCACAGAGAGCAGTGCATTGTGGTAGCTATCCCAGCATGCAAGTGGCTGCAATGTGCTTTTCAAATGGGGGGGTGGAGTGTGACAGGGAGTGTGTTGTATGTATGTGGGGGGAGAGCATGTCAGCATGCTGTCTTGTAAGGTCAGACAGCAGCAGACCTCAAAATAACTTTTCCTTATATAAGATTCTATTTCTCCCAAAGATTTTCTAGAATCAGGAACATTAAGAAAAAACGGTTTATGATTAATAGGATACAGAAGGAAAATGTGTTCAAGGTTCCTAAAACGTAAATTCTTGATATATCTGGAAAGTGCCTATCACATTGTGGGCACTACCAAAACAGATGAACAGTAATAATAATAATCTACCTTCACCACAAAGTCAGTTGCTACATACTTAAGCTTGGGAGGATTATATTTTTATCCCTAAATATTGGTAAACATTGATTTCACTGTACACAAACTGATGAAAACAATATTTCCATCGATACTTGAAATTTACAAGGGCAAAGTAAGAAAAATGTTGCTTGAGAACTTATTAGAGTTTGCTATAAGGATATTTGTATATTTTGACAATTTATTTTTACATTATAAAGCTTTAAGTTTTTGAATTTCAGTGTCTGTCATTAAATAATTGTCAGATATGCCATAATTTACTGTAGCTGTGAAAATGTAAATGGATTAAAAATTGGGGTGGGGAGAAATGCTTAAAGCCCATAATTTTGCAAAGCTGTGAAAATTTAGATAAAAATCTTAAAAAAAAAAAAAAAAGGTTAAAAATAAACAATCTGTCAAAATTATAAAAGTGAAAATTAAATTCTGCTAAGCCTATATATATATTTATATAGTGCTCAATATGTTCTAGGTGTTTTACAGATATCTTAGGATGCACCTTATGATTAATAGTGGATATAAAAATAAAAACTATTTTTGCATATACATTTTTATAAGTATTCTTGGCAATCATTTTGAATGTGTAAAGTTTTGCCACATATTCTTAAAAGGAATGTGTTAAAAAAGATGACTATTTAGTATATATTTAAGTTTAGATTGTAATCTTGTATAAAATATTTTCTGATTTACAGAGCTTGTGGACAAGTGTATAGGATCACGTATTCACATTGTGATGAAGAGTGATAAAGAAATTGTTGGCACACTCTTAGGATTTGATGACTTTGTCAGTATCCTTTAAATGTAATATTTACTATTTACCAATTTTCTTTTTAGAATAAGCTTAATTATTTAGCTGTTTCTTTGGATATTTTGAATTAGGTGGCTAGAATGAATGCTTCCACTTTTTGCATGGATAAATATGCCACACTAGCTGAAATTATTTTAAAAATTAGGCCACACCGTTTTTATAAAATCAAAATACAGGTAAAGTTATTAAATCAAGGCTATTTTAGTTCTTTGTTTTCCTTGACAGTAGACTTCAGACATGGTGTTAGAGGATGTTACAGAGTTGTAAGTATTGCTTCTGTTTTTTTGTGGCTATTTGTGTGCTTTTTTTTTTTCTTTCCCATTTACAGAAAAAGTATATTGAATTAGGAAGCAAACCATTTTGACCTCTTTAAAAGATTTGACACAACTGAGTAATTTAGGCTTCAAATTTAAACTATTTGTAAATAATCCAATGGGGATTCATTCTGTACAGCCAGCTCTTAAATAGCTGTGTGTGGCAGGTGGCAAAGTCAGGTGCTGAGTGTGCTTAGCACACCAGTATCCATGCTTTGTGGTTTGGCTTTCTATTCTGACTGGTAGGTAACAGGTCATCTGCTAACCAGCTATAGAGCACTTAAAGATGTATTGCCTTTGCAAAAGGTGAAACTTCTTGTACCTCTTCTTCACTGCAAACAAACAAACAAAAAAAGTGTTTTTGAACTCAGTCTGGTAACTCATGTGAAGGCTATAAATTGCCTTGTCTTTACTAGGATTTCACATTGAGTTAGTTGACTCGGATTAAGGATTTTCTTTTTTTTTTTTTTTTTTTGTACTGAAGTTGGCCTCACAGAGTGGCTGTCACACATTTTGTCATATTAAATTTTTTTTAACATTTCCTGTTCGGCACCCTTGACTTTTTTCCCCTGAACTCCATGTTGAATTCTCCATTAGTTTAATGTTTGCTTTGACACATAGGCAAAGAGTTAAAAAGTAGGTGTAATCTGGGATAAGAAAGCATTTGTTACCTTTATCTTGCAACATTATTCATGTTGCCAGTTGAAACTTTTTCATATGTTGAGGGCAGTGGAGGATGTCCCCAAAACTGTATTGTGATTCATCTAAATTCTGTGTTACTCTTGGTAAATAACCCAGCCTATTACAGAGCCGTGTGTAACTACAGCTCTCACCACAAGTCCAGATTTATTTTGTTAACTTTATATACTAAATATTTTTCTTCCTAATGTTTGATCAGTGAAATCACACCTGAAGGAAGAAGAATCACAAAATTAGATCAGATCTTGCTAAATGGAAATAACATAACAATGGTAAGTCAGGTGTACTACTTCTTTTTGCACTGGTTCTTAGTATATGTGGAATTCAGTTATTGACTAAATCATTCAAGTAAGATTGAACTCATGTTTATTTTAAATTTTAAAAACATGTTCTTTCAGAACAATCACATGAAATCTCATACTGTAATCCTAGACTTAAATTTCTTGATTACACATGTTGCATGTTATGTTTTGAAAACAAAAGTGAAAATATAAGCATGAACTTAGTTGTATCTTAACGTACAGTAAACTTAAAACATAATACTCCTGATGCATGCGAATCAGGGCTGAAGCAGTAATTGATTATTGTAGGTCTGATACTGCAGCCAATATTTTATTTTTCCTATTGCCTGCTATGAGACTATGGGCCAGATTTTGCACCAGAGAAGCTTAAGGCCTACTGTAATCAGAGGGACTAAGTACTTAAATGTTGTAGGATGGGGACCTGAATGACTAAAGACTGCACAATAATACCTATCATGGTAATCTGTTTTGTCTATTGTCTTTAAAGAAAAAAACTACTTGTTCAATTTTTGGTTTTTTTTTTAAACAGAGAGAAATGTCAGTAAAATAAATATGATAGTTCCTATATCTTTTTTACATTTCTTTCTTTAAAGTTTATTGAGTTAAAGCATTGCTCTTAAACTGCACTCTGAAGAGAGCACATGGTGCTGTCTTGCCTCTTTGTTACAACTGCATCTGTGAATGTCCAGGCTCTTCATTATAAAGCAAGTCTGTTTGTAAAAGCAGCTGGAAATGAGCAGCCAACCTGTATACCTTTATTTGGGGCTGCTGCTACACAAGAAGAAGAAGAGAGGAGACAGGAGCAGAAAAACTGTTCCTCATTTAGGAAGTGAACTTTATAGTCTATCTACTTTTAAAAGTGTGCTATTGTGTTTTTAAACTGAAAATCTTCCCACCAACTGAATGCCAAAGAAAAGAAAATTAGTAGCAGTTTTTTATCTAGACATGCCTTTTTATTGTGTTGAATGTTCCTACATTTCTTGGTTTCTCGTTCCTGAAACATATCTAAGCATGCATTTATCTGGTGGCAACAGATTCCCACTGGAGTGAGGAAAAAGTTTTATTCAATCATGACTTGTTGGCTAAAATACATATATAAAATGAGAACATTTACATTGGTAAATGTTCTGCTCAAATACTAATCAGTCATGGTATAAATGATACACAATATAGGCTAGAAAATTTCAGAATAGGAGTTTAGCAAGCACAGGAAGTTTCACAACATTTTACTATCTTATAAAAACTATAATGTCACTCATTTTATCTGATTATTTAGCTGCTCTTTGTAAGAATAGAATTAGGGAGTGATTTAGTTCAAAATGGGTCAGTTTACCTATAAAAGTACACGTGTGTTATGTTCTAGTATTACTTTAAATTTTCCATCTGTTTTAAAAATATTTTCAGTAGTGTTTAATAATAAATATGTACAAAGCCATATCTGACAATTCTCACTTTAAATCTTGAAATCGTACATGTACTATGTTTCTTCATACTGCATCTCTTAAATTGTCCTTTTCTTATACAGCTGGTTCCTGGAGGAGAAGGACCTGAAGTGTAAATTGATTATTTGTCATCTATGAAGACTCTTGTTATCTATTCTGTTATCTCAATGGAGTACTTTTGGTTTTCATTTTGTTTACATTTAAAGTTGATATTTGATAAAAGGTAAAATTTCCTATTCAGGGAAGATGCATTGCTGATGCTGACTTTGTAAGTTAAAATCATGACTTTATTGTAAAGACCGATCTGCTGTTCAGAATAAAACAAACATTTTCTTTTTGTTAAATATGCTGGTTGGTTTTATTTAATGCAGTAGAAAAGATATCTGCAGTTATAATGATCTTTAAAAATAAAAAATAGGAAGAAACAAGGAACTTGAGATCAGAAAGTTAAGGCTGAGACTCAATCTCTAAGTGGCTCAGAAGCAAAATAGTACCACTCAACAGTAAGTAGATTCTTCTGGATGCTTCTCCTCTTGACCCAGAGGGCTCAGCTCATTGGATGTGATTCCATGTTTGTTAGAGCTTTTCTAAATAAAATAAGAAAATGGTGCAGTCTTTAATGTAATGGACAAGAAAAATGGAGATTGGTTCTAAAGTATGCCCCCTGCAGCTTATTACTTCTTTACACTCTTCCCCTTTGGTCTCCTCCTGCCTTGGAGAAAGATCACAGCTGCCTGCCATTATTGCACAGATGTGCAGGAGAGAGGGATGGACCTTGTTGTGGGTAACTAATGAATTGCCTAGTATCACCAGAAAAGGGAAGGAGAATCAGTGGAAAGGGCTTGGTGAAGGAGGAGACTCCAGGGGTCGGAAAGTATGCCAGAGAAATTGTTCTTCTGGACTATGATGAAGCAAATGATGTCCTTCTACTTCATCTGACTGAGGTAAGCCATGGTCTCTGTTTGCTGGGATCCTGGCTGAAGTAAGCTGAGGGCAACTTTGTTTAGTCTTAAATGGGGAAAGGCTTTTTTTCAGTAAAACTTCTCAGGGTGTATTTGTTTTGAGAGTGTGAATTATTTTTTGTCCTGCTTAGACTGGCCTGTGAGAGTCAACCTTCAGTGGCTTCCTCTGTCCTCCCCCCTCCAGCCTCTTCTGTGATAATGGTTTAATTCTATTTATTGTTTTACAAAAGTGCTAACTTTCTGTTGATTAGAACATTATCTTTACATACTATTTAACCCCAAACTCTCTATTTCATTTACTAGAAATTGATTGTCTTCACTCCTTTTAAATGATACTGGCTCCAGCCAGCACAATTTTCAGTCTTCTTTATCCTCATAGTTATTATCCTAGTCCTCACTCTCCTGACACTGAAAATAGGCTAGTGCAAAACATACCTCTGAACTGTACCTCATTTTGAAGGATATCACTACTTTTTGTCCCAAAGCTACCTACATTCCACACAAATTTGGACTTATATTGTTGAAAATTGTTTACATGGGAAATAAAGAACCAGGAAACTTAAAGTTATTTATGCTACATGACTGAATCTCAGAGCATTTTAAAGTTTTCCTGAATATTTTGAGTCTCTGTCACATGCTGTGTCCCACATTTGGGTATTGGCAGGTTAGAAGGTACCTTGTAGACTCTTGTTCCAAAATCAAGTACTATAAATCGTCGTCTGTATACACCGGGCTTTATTGCACTTGGTGTTTTGCATATATCTTTATAAACTGAACATGCAAATCAGACATTTTGGGAGAGTAAAGTTAGCAGAACTTGGTCCAAATGGAGTTTTGAATGGGAAAGGCGATCAATATTTGGTCTTTTGTCAGAACATAAAGAGTGAAATGTATAGCATTCTATTTTCTGCAGGCATGAAATGTTCTCATGAGAACTACATTTATATTGTCTAATTCCCTTTTTTTTGCTGTTAGTTTCTTACTATTCATAAAGAGGAAGTGCTAATACTGTGATCTCTGTGAGTGTTTTGGTATACCACTTTCTGCAGTCTGCATATGTTCCTCTTGATATATTTGTGTGTATGCCTATGGTATTAAATATTCACAGGTCACAAGGGAGCAGAGTTAGTGCTCTGGAGATTACTTGCAACTTTGTGCTAAAGAATTAAAATATTCCGCACCCGTTATTTGTCTTCCAGTGCAGTTTCTCAAACAATATTTATACCACTTGCCATTTTGGAAGTGCAAATAATAAGCTTTTTAATTAAATGAACTATGTATGATGTTGGTTTCTCTGGAAAGCTTGCACTTTAATCACATTGATACTGTACTGTCCCTAGAAATATCTGAGCCCGCATTGCTTTTCAGAACACAATGTTTTAAGTCACCACTAGAGGGGACAGTATCTGAACTAAAATTATACAAGGCTGAGAACCAAAAGGTTTTTATGATGTAGCTTTATAAAATATACAAATCTAAAATTAGGGCTGTACTTTTTGGTCTTAAAAATTAAAGTAGGACTCAGGGATAAAATCAATACGTTTTGTTTAATGAATCCAGTTTAAAGTAATATTGACAGTTTTCTTTTGCCAGTTTTTTCAGTGTATGCTATCTGATGTAGTGACTTCCTTAACTTGTCTAGCCAGCAAAACTCTTGACAGTACTATTCTCTAATACAGGCACAAGCTTCTTTATACTTCTCGTCTTTCAAGTTGTTGGCCCCCCCCCCCCAAAATCTTGACATAGCAGTTGCAGAACTTCACAAATAAGAACTAGAAAACCCAACAACCAGTGTCTTAACTGAACTGTAATTCAGAGTTTCAGGATTTTAAGTTGATCTCAGTGTTTTATGTAATAATATCTAGCTCTTGTATATTGCTTTCTGTTAGCAGATAAAGATGTAAAGCAAATACTGAAGATTCATATGAGTTGGTTTTATATTTGTCTACTGCACTCTTATTTAAAAAAACAAAATTATTACCTTGAATAAGACTTTAGAGATTTTTCTATTTTTGATCATTCTTATTTGGAGACATTTTCTTTGAGTGTTCATAGTCTTTTACCAAATTAGATGGAAACAGAGAAAAGATCCCTGATTATAATACAAAGTAATAAATTATATGTAAGCTTTCCATTATTCAAGTGCACAGCAATTAATTTGCTGAACTCTGAATGTGCTCCGTCACTGATCATGGCCAATTTGCATGCAAGTTAAGCAATCTTAATAAAAACTTACACAGTTTGAGTGCATGGTTTTGTGGATGTGTGGTGGAGTTATTTTTATGAAAAAATATGATTTCCCCACCCCACTTACCTGACTGAAAAGAACTAATAAGTGGCCCTGGGGAATGTAGCTGTCTGCAATCTTCCCATGTCAGCTAGCTTTCAAAGCGAAAAACCACAGCAGGTACATGGTTGGGGTAGTGGTTTCATAATGTAGGCCAGGATTGGTCGGTTATTTATGGTTTTCCATGACAACAGTTGACAGAGCTGCTGTGGTTGAGTCTCTGTGGTAAAAGACTGTTTCCTATACCAGTCTTTGTGCGCTATGAAAATCCCCACAGACTGAAACATTTGATGGTTTATAAAATAAAATAAAAGTAAAAGATACATGAGGCCAGGTCCTGGTTCCATGATGATCAGTGGCAAAACCTGCACTGATTTCTGGTATACTAGGATTTTACCCTTGATGTTTGTTTGAAAACTGAAAATAAAATAACAGGGAAAATAGAGTTTAAGGTAACAACTATTTTTTGTCAGTTTAATCTCCCTACAAATATAATTTAGAGTTTTTAAAAATATTTTGGGGAATCTTGGAATTGGTTCTAAAAACAAGCCAAAGTTGACCAAAACCACCCCACATCAAGAGTAATTGTTGACTATGGTCATTGTCCATTTCAGCCTTATCCAATCATAACTAGAAGGCATGATTATTGACTAACTGTAAATTTCTTTTTTGTTTTGGCATGCTGGTGCCCAAGTTCAATATCCAATGCTATGAATCTCTTCTTAAAAAAATATTGAAAATATCCCATAATGTATGTCATTATCCTGCTGTGCATCTGTTATAGGTTCTGAATTATGTTTGTAGCTATTGGGGACTGAGGTTATGTTCCAAAACTTGTTTACTGATCACATTCCTGTGAGTAGACTAGTAGTGTGTGATACAGTGCATATCCTTTCCTCATCTGTGTAAAGCTTCAACAGTTTATATTAGGATGTTGAAACTTGCTGTTTCTTATGCAACTAATAGATAAAACGGTTTGCCTACATTCTTAATTTTAATAGAGAATGATACTCATTTTCCTTAAAACATAGTGGGTTTTAGAAGTGTTCTTGCAACTGAGTGAAATATGTTTCCAGTTAAGGCACTCTGGGCTAATCTGCATTTCAGAGACCCTGTTAACACTTTATAAACCATTAATCCAAAACCTTCGAACAGGGGTAGTTAATAGGTGAACCGTGGGCCAAATTTGGATCACCAGATGCTTTTGACTCGGACCCCGAAATCTTTTTATTTACTTGTTGTTTTTTATATTTCTCTGGAGTCTGAACCTTGACTCCAGATGAAGTGGGCTGTAGCCCACGAAAGTTTATGCTCAAATAAATTTGTTAGTCTCTAAGGTGCCACAAGTACTCCTGTTCTTTGAACCTTGACTATCCCTTGACCAAGAAATTTTAGACCTTGTCAAAAAATAATTGACTATCCCTGTCTTAGAACTTGTGTATATACTCTGTTGTCAGTTCTGCTTTTCACTGTGGATATTATGGTTTATTAAAGTTTTTCTGTAAACCAAAGCAGGCTTTCTTGCCCCTTTCAATTAGCTATAACTAAGCAATACAATATATACTAAAGGTATTACTGTACCCATAGCTCTGTCAACCCTTATTCACTGTTAAGCAGGCCTAGGAAAAGGTGCAGTGGCGAGTCTGTGTATTAAGAAAGTAAGGACAAATTTTCAAGAATGGCCTCCAGATTTGAGTATGGCAAAATGTGAATGCAAATTTTTGTGGAGTGCGAATCAGCACTGGCTTCAGTGGAGCTGTGCTGATTTAAACCAGCTGAGGATCTGGCTCTAGGCTGATATGCGGTACTCAACACTGTGATCTAGTTGCCTCTTAGAAATAAACAGTATCTTAATCATAAAAAAATCAGATGACCCAATTTAGTTTCTGTTGTGATGATGCTCAAGATGGAAAGAACCCACCTTGCCTGAAAGCCCATGGTAAGTAAGTAAATTTGTGCAAATGTCACTAATGATATAATCTGAAGAAAACAAGGTTACATGAAAAGCATAAGAGCTGCACATATAATGGTTTTTCAGATGGAAAAAATCCTGCTTGATTGCTATAGCGCAGTTGAGTTGGTGAGGTTGGTAGTT